TCTTCTCCTTAAGTTCATCCGATGTCTGTGCGACGGTGTATTGGATACAAACTCTGTATTATCTAAAATGTACTAATTAGAATTAGAATTAACAACCGAAATTGGAACAGACTCACCTGGTTCCTAGAATTGTATTTGATCAACATGTCAGTCGTATAGTAAAACCACTAATATTTAGAACTTGCATCATAGACATTCCAACACTATCCTCCCCTACGAAATAATGCAGGGTCCTTTCGTTGATTTTTCTGAAATATTTCCCTCAAATTTATTAAGCGTTTCATTAGAGAGTAATGGATCATTAGAAAAATCAACATCTGCCAAAACTGAATCCCGTTTTTGATCATGATTTGACTCATTCAAGATATTATTCTCAGAAATATGTTATTCATTATGACAAACCATATCTGGTACAATAACAAGAGAAATCTGATAAGTTGGTTGATTGGAAACTTTTGTCTCACAATGATTCTGGGTTTCATTCAACTCTGGACTGTTATGTGACGTTATATCGCTTCTCGAAGTTTTGGATAAAGATGAGTGATCTTTAGAAACATCCAACTTAGTAGAATCACAGTCACAAATTTTGGAATTAGTTTCAGCGAAATGAACCATGGTATTACAAACTGACTGAATGTGTCCAGTTTACCACAAGTAAAGCATTTAGAATTACGAAATACACACAAATTACATGGCTGAAAGTTGTCACAGGACAAACATTTGTCAAACTTTTGCACCTCTTCGTGAATTATTTCACAACTCAATGAATTGTCATCTGAATAACCTTGGTTACGTATTGGACTGGGATGACGTAGTAAAGTAGTGGAATTCCTGATGTTCTGGCGAATCATTTCATTGAATTTTTCTCGTTTGTCGCATTTGGAATCTGTTTCTTTTCCAATGAATGTAAGGAAATGGGCCACAATATTAAAATCCTCAACATCTTCTTTGGTGATGTTCCAGATTTCAGACATTTTCATGTAATCGTCAAAAGCACTAAAATCTGAATATATGTTCAACCGTTCCATCACGACGCCAATGTGATAATCAGGAGTACTTGAATCACAGTACAAACTAAAAATTCCGGAAATAACTCATTTTAATCAAGAAGTATTAGATGAACACGAACAAACGTATTGTACTTGGAATTCGAGATTAATCAGTCAACAATTATAAAGGAATCATTAGTTCATATAAACAACACAAACAATCAAGATATTTTTAAACAGAGATAGTATTCACTATCATTGTGACATCTTTCATTATTATTCATATTATCAAACTCGAATCATCCCATTTACATTGTATACAATTGTACTGACTAAACCTCAAATTAAATAATAAGTTATAACCTTAGCTCATTATAATTTCTTAGTGAAATCTTCCATTTATAAATAATGGAATATTCATATAACAAATAAGCATTTTGATTTAGAATTCTTTTCTGAAACAAAATTAAAAAATTATCTCTTAAATTATTAGGGTATAATAATGTTCAAGTTTCTTGATATTGAAAAAGATTAAAAATACAATTCAAGAAAGAAAGAATAAAGTAATAATGAGTGAATGCGCACTGCTGAGGAGTCTCACAATAGAACGAAACGGCCGTTCAGTGCTTTCAGGTTTTCCACGGTGGTCTAGCTTCAATTGACTCATGATTTCAACTATATATAATAATGAATATTTTTATAAATTTGAAGTAGTATTGTGTCATAGTTTGTTTACATAAATCAAATATTAAAATGAAATCATATCATAATCTAATATCAAATTAGAAGTGTTCAGATGAAGATAACAACCCTTTTGATAAATATTAAGAACAAAATAACCAAATGTTGTAGTACTAGCTAACTAATAGTTGCAAAAAATAATTAGGAACAGAAAACACAATAGATTATCTAAAATAGAAAGGAAACTTATGGTTACAGTGAAATAAGGGACCGATCGTAATGTTTTCGTACACAATGTCTGACTTAAATCGGTAGGTAGCTAAAGTTTTTTCTGTTCATAAGTTTTTCACTTGTATTCCTTCCTAATCGACTCGCCTGACTTAATGAATGATTTGGAAGGAATCAAAGTAATCAAAATGAACCAAATGTTCCAAGACTAAGTTTTCGAATGACTTCTACAGTCCTTTAGCTAACCAGGTAAGGCAATTTATGGAGATGCTCTTTGAAAGAGCTCTCTTTAAGCGACCAATATAACCCTATCTAAACGAGTAATTAAACCGACAAATTTATATTGATTTGGCCAGTGGGAGTTCGTCTTTTACACAATTATGAACCACAGACCGATGAGAGAAGGAAATACGAAGTTCATCTGAATATAAAACTTTTTTCAGAGAAATCGAAATTTAGCTTTTCAAAATTTCCGCCTCAGTGTATATTTTAAACTGAATGTTCATAAAGAAAGTCTTCTTTGGTGGCGTAAACACTCTTTCAAATTGTTGTTCTTCTACACGAATGGAGTTGACTGAAATCCATATTACTGTGACGTATTCTCATTACCTTAATAATAATTTTAGCATAATTGTGACCCTCATTATGTGAGAATATTAAATGTTTCAAACCTATTTCCCTTAGTTACTACACTATGAAAAGTAGTAAATATACTGTAATCTTGTTCATTTAATTCTCTCTTTTTGAGTAATCTCTTAAAATTCATAATTCCTCTACTCTTACTTGTTTTTTTATCTCCAACGAAGTGTCGTTACGTACTATTTATCGACCGGTGGCTTTTTGCTTTAGGTCATCTATTATATTAGAAGTATGTTTCAATCCTTTTTATTTTAGACCGCAAATAATGCATAAATTATCACACACACACACACGTAATATTTATCTATGCTCTACTTTATAATTATACTATATTTTAAACATTAACTAACTAAACTTTAAATTATGTGATTTTGTGTGAATTTTTGAACCATTTAACTTCAATAAAAATAAATAGATTGACTTATAATAATTAAGTTTGTGTACTTTTCATTCTTTCTTAAGTAACTATTCGTATTTTATAAATTATTTATACAGTTTGATTTATAATGAAACAAAATTAGTCACTATGATGATTGATCGATTTCAATTTTATAGTTAGCTGTTAATCGAGAGAATGATATCCTGATAAACATCTATGTGTGTATGTATGCGTCCATACTTAGATCCACATGTTCTAAGTTTGCGTTGATATATGTTGTCTTTTCCTTTTATTGTAATAATTAACTATTTAATGGTGTTTTTTTGTTTTTTTTTAAAAAAAGAAAACACGATATCGTAATTGATGAGAAAATAACATTCTGGTTTTTGTTTTCTTAATGAGGCTTTGTTCAAATTTGCTAAACTTGTGGGAATGTCGAGTCGTAGTTGACTATGATCACCACTACAGACCAATTACGTGACAATTACTAGGTTAAATCCCTCAGTAGGATAAATATTAGGAGAGTTGTAGATTGTAGTTAGTATATATTTGTTGGTGATCTAGTGGTATCGAAATAATACCGAGATCGTGCCAAAGTTTACAGGCAAGACTACCGTGCGTACATGAATAAGTTCAAGGTTACAAACAACGGAACAAAGTGTGTTTTTGGCACAATGATTTAAAATTTATATAGTCATTTAAGTTTATGGTACCGTAAAATCCAATCGATTTTCTACAATTTCCTTTTCAATGTATTTCATAAACTTGGAGCTGAATCATCTTGAAATTATTTGTTGAAATTTAGATCAATTTTCTTATAATAATCTTGATATAGTTTGACATTATGAAGCTAATTTTCATTAATGTTTGACAAAATTTTCTGAATTAGTGGAAATCTCAGTTTTTTTTAATTTCTCAATAGTACATAAGTTCAGGTCTCATAGAAAATGTGATAGTGCTTAATTTACTAACCAAACTAATGTGCTTTCAACGTAACACTATTATCGATCAACGTTATCGGTGAGTTGTTATGTTACTTTCAAACAGATTGATTCATCAATCTACAACTTCCTATGAAAATTTTTAATGATTGTTCTAAAAACCAGTGATGAGTGCATAATCTTGAGGAGTTCTAATATAATTCAACAGTAAATTTTTCATCATACTTATTTGCTGCAACTACTCACTGGTCTTCTACTCTTCATTGTTTAAATAAGCTTCTTTGTAATCAGCAATATTTCTTCTTTAAACAGAAACGAGGAACTATTCAAAAGTATCATGTCGCTTTCGTCCATTTGTTTAGTTTGTTTCTGACAATGAAGTCAGAAACTGCATAATTCGATCCTCCTAGTTAATTTGATTGCATTTCTTTTACCTTTTCAAGTAGAATAACACGTTCTCTTAAACATCCAGTGTTAAACTATACTGTTACTATTTTTCACATCATAATATTTCGTTTTTTCTCATATTACTGACTTTACATTCACAAACTCTGTCAATAAATTGTTTATGTGAACTAGCCTCGAGCCTACAATTAACATAATGAAAAACCTGATGATTGGTTGTAAGCATAATTTTATTATGTACACTCATAACTCATATGATTTAGTAAGTTATAAATAAAGACTTAATAAATAAATCTCAACAGCTACATACATGACAGAAAAAAAGTTTGATAGAAAATATACTTACAGATTTAGGATTAATTGAGTGTATTATATGGATGACATGCAAGACATCCAAACAATTGATGAGTCAAAAAATAACTTATTAATTAGGACAATATTAAAAACAGTATAACAACAGGTTATTAAATATATACAACCTGATGCACCTAGGAATAGTTATACACATTTCATTTTCCTTCTTCCTCATATCTTCCTAACTGTAAACAACCACTTTTTGTACAATGTTATAACTGTGATGGAATGCATATTTTTGTCCAAATTATCATGACTTACATACAGTTTATTTACAAATTTGTTTATAGACCGTTATATATACATATAATAATGTATTCGTTAAGTCGTAAGTCATTGTATACTAATCGATTAAAGTTTTATAATTTAAAACTTCACTGATCAATAATGCTAGTTGGTTAAAACAGTGTAAATATATAACTACTGATTTACAACGAAAACAAAACATAATAAAGTTATACATTCGAAATATTTATTATTCTTACCTGTAAAAAAAACACTAACCATGGATACAGACATAAAATTAAGTGATGCCCAATTGTATAGACCACCACCAGGGTATTCATTAAGTAGAACAACATTATACCGGTCACAAAGTGTTGATACATCTAGGAAACAATCAAATAAATTAGTTGATATGGAACAAATTGATATTAATAAATTATCTAAAATGATTAATATGAATCATTTAAAAGGTTTACAAATTAAACAAACAATTATGAATGAATTTGTATATAAATTATTGATGTCTATGAAATATTTAAAAGAAATTGACCGCCGTAAAAATAAATCTATTATGATAAACAATCAAAGATATTTGAAATTAACTAGATTATTACAAATTTATTTATTACAACAAAGACAATATTTACTATTACAAATTGATATATTACTAAAAAAATTGATCAAATTAAATGCGAAATATTTAAATGAAGATAAACACTTTGACTGTTTATCATTAAAATATACATCTTTATGGAAAGATTATAATCAATTAAAAAATGATTTTAAAAAGTATAAAATAATTCAAATTTTAAATCTTTTACAAAATCAATTAAAAATTTATAAAAATTTTTTAAAATCAATAAAAGAATAAACAATTTAAATTAAATTGTGTAACATTTAAGAAAGAATATTTACAATATGTACTAAAACAATTAGAAATTTTGTTCAAAAATAAAAAAACAAAAAAATGTGGGAAATTTAAATTTAAAAATATACAATTAAATAAACAAATAAATAATAAACATGGAATGGTAAGATATATAGATGTAAGAATAAAGCAATTAATAAATGAAAATAATAAATTAAAACAAAAATTAATGAAAAATCGAGTTCAACAAACAAATAATAAGTTGATTAGAATTGGAATTGATTAAATACATGAAACGTTTTTTTTTTGATTACAAAAGAAATATCATGCAATTCACAGATTTATAATAGAGAAAATGAAACAAGAAAACTATTACAAAATCAACTACAATAAATATGTGGATTGACAAAGAAGAAGAAATGGAAACTCGTAGAAATACTTCGTGTTGAGAAATCCACATTATACCAAAATTATCGTAATAAAAGAAGTAATAATTATTAATTTCCTCTCTAAAAAGGAAATATAAACTAACCTAGAAAACGTAAGAAATTCTGATCTCCACTTACAAATATTTCATTATTTTATTAGTGATCTTCTTTGGGTGTAATAAACAGGATCTTAGAAAAACTAAATCACTTATTACACTTTAAGTTATTCAATATGTAAAGTTGGACATGCACCTACATACTTTCTGTTAATTCACATGAAGACACGCAATCGAATAATAAAAGATTCTATATTACAAACATAAGTGACATGCAATTCAACTATCCACTCATGTGTAGATGTACTTTTCAAAAGAATGAACAGAAAAATAGGAACATGTGAAATCTTGACAAACATTGAAGATTCAAGAAGGATAATTTTTAAAATAATATCACACGATAAACCTATTTAACAGTACACATCATTATTCCATCGTAGACTGAAAGGTGGAAGGCAACTTTGTGAAAGTCTACATTGAGACGAGAAAAGCGATAAAACAGAGAAATAAATCTTGCATCCAGATAAAATTATTCACAGTGATTATTGTTGTTGGTTCAAATAATGAATAAATAACAGATTTATCTGCTGATATCATTGATAAATTATTGCTTTTCAAGTAGACGCATGAACTTAATTATGATCCTACGTAAAATTATTCACTCTTTCAAACAAACTACCGTCTTACAAAATAGATACCAGTATATCGTCTAGTTTTCCATGCTTATACGTAGTAATCGACGTTTATTGGTCAACATGGCTACTGGGCAAAACTAATCAATAAAATAACTTACAGTGGTCAACGCCTAATCGTCGGATTCAATTGGTAGGAAATTTGGGACCTACGTTTAGTGCAATTGTAAACTCATCAGTGACACATATTCACAACACCAATAGATTGTCAGAAGTCGTAAAATACTATCTGAAATATTTCATTTACTTTCCATAGTAAATTATTTAACCAATTGGAAAATCCACATAACTGATCATATTCAACATAAGCTTTATCTAATGAGTATTGTTGATTAACATAGGTTAAAAATAATGTAGCAACATAATACGGCATAATTAATATTTGAGATTAATACTTCTGATGACAATATCAATGAACTTGTTTAAAACATGGGAGCTCATCAGTTATCCATGAAAACACTGTGAAAAAAAATCACAAGACTTTTTCGTTTCGGTTTTCAATACGAGTTATGTAAGCAGAAATTAGAATATTAAAATAAGTCGAACCATTTGCATGAAACAGAACGGAATAACTACAACGCTGTAATCAATATGCTGGTATGATTTTCACGCAGCGCTTAATTATTTCAAAAATATTATATAGGAAATACGACTTTTTCATGATCAGAAACTAAAGTAGTTTAGTAGTTATAGTGCTTAATGTAAATGAGAGATCATGTATGAGCATATGCAACACACACTGAGCAAAATAAATTGTTCTTAACCTAACTAATAACACTTGCTCAACGTCTAAAACTTTGATAGGTATAAAGTTTGCATTTATAACTAAATAACTAACGGTGAGTTACCTATGAGAAGCTTCTATCTAACGCTAATTGGACAAAACGTTTTCTGGACCTCTAGAAATTTAAGATGGTGGTTGGAGGTAGTCGACAAGAAACCCTGGACCTAGGTTTCGTGCTACTTGGGACTCGTCAGCAAGATGTACCTGTAATCTTGCGAGGAGTGATGTTCATTGATGGGTTCGATCCCCATGTGACCCAGCTTCACAGTCAGAGATGTCAACACTGAACTATTCGGGCTGTAGAACGGTGATGTATTTACATGGCTTTCCTCAGTGTGAATCCTATCCACTTCTCGCGATATTACTTACTTACTTTACTTACTCACTTTACTTACTTAGTTAATTATTTGCAGCACTTCTTCTTGATTGCTTCCCCCACTGGAATCGGATTTGTACTCTCCCATAGTAGGTTGTTGCTGATAGTTTCTGGTCAATGAATCCGAAGTATTTTGTGTGAACAACTGTTAACAAACACTTATATCTTCTGGATGATGGCTTCCGTAATTCTTCAAGTTTCCGGTACATACAGTAGAACTGTTTTGACATTTGTATTGAAAATTCCGAACTTGGTATTGATTGATAATCGTTTTGAGTTTCAGATGTTCTTTAATTGTAGATATGTTGCTGTTGCTTTGCCTATCCGCGCCTTCACATCTGCATCAGATCCACTCTATTCATCAATCATGCTGCCCAGATATAAAAATGTTTTTACATCCTCCAAAGCTTCTCTGTCAAATGTAATGCGATTGGTGCATGTTGTATTGTATTGGAGCATCTTGTTTTTCCCTTTGTTTATATTGAGACCTACTGCTGCTGAGGCTGCTGCTACACTGGTCGTCTTCTACTGCATTTGTTGTTGCGTGTGAGATAGAAGATTCAGATCAACTCCGAAGTGTAGATCGTCCCGCTGCATCCTAGTTGTTCATTGTATCCCATGCTTCTCCCAGATGTTGACGTCTTCATGATCCAGTCGATCACCAGGAGGAAAAGAAAGGGTAAGAGTAAGCAACCTTGCCTGACACCGGTCTTTACCTAGAACGAGTCTGTCAACTGCCCTCCATGCACGATTTTGCAGTTTAATTCATCCTAAGAATTTCATATGATATTGACTATCTTCTCATATATATATGGTATAAATGTAAACTATTTACCTAACATTCATACCTGAATACACTGAGCATTAGTAAGATTAGTGTCATTTTGACTGCATTTGAAATTGTTACTATCTCATTGAATAATTTATGTGTGTAATCAGTTTGGCGAATTCTGCTGATACTAATCACCTCCAGGATTAAACAGACTATATTCGGTAGTATGTAAAATTGTACATACACTGTTGTTTATTGACTACTAAATTCGAAGGAATTTATAACATTCCCATCAGAATAGAAAAGTTGGAACTTTTAGGCATTTCAGCATATGCAAACTTATATTACAGTGCAGGCTAACACTGGTCGATTAACGCACTGACGACTAGAAAGATTTTACAACACTGTGGAGTCGTAAAATGCATATATACTACTCGGACATGCCGTATGGCGGTACTGAAACCAATAAGACAACTGCGCCACCGAGTCGATGAATCAATATGATAGCATTTATATCACCTTAACGTACTTTTTCGGATTTGACCATTATTTATTCAATTTTGTCACCATATTCAGGGAATTCTTCGGAGAAAACAATGATTGAACACTGAACCAGAGAATATGTTGGCTAAAAGTAGCCGGGTTTCACAAACAGTATGAAACTTGGCATTGTTTGGTTGAATCTTCCCATTGACGTTTCGGACTGCAATTGATCAATCTGTTAATGGCCATATGCGCATACTGTGCGCATTGCCTCGATATAGCCCTAATTCACAAGCATTATAAGAAGATATGGATAGTGGATAGCAGTGGAGTCCAGGACGCGCGTTTCGTCCTATTTGGGACTCGTCAGATGGATGTACCTGATCAATTGCAGTCCTAAATGTCAATGGGAAGATTCAAAAAAACAGTATCAAGTGAATTTAAACTTCACCCAATTGTACAAGCAAGTGGCTATAGCGACTCAGTAGCTAAGTGGATTGGTCGATGTTGTTTAAAGCGAAAGGGACTGTGTTCGAGCTCCAGAGTGAACATCAACTCTGAGATGCAGATACATCCAGCTAATGAGTCCCAAATAGGACGAAACGCGCTTCCTGTATTCCACTGCTAGCCACTATCCATCTTTGCTTATAAGAGTATGAAACTGTTTCTACAAGTGCGTTGTACACATGACCATTTTACGGATCGATTTGTGCTGACAGAACCTAAGAAAATCAAATTCAGTATAAACGTAGATTGATATTATCTGTTAAACTACTAGTATTGATACAGCTACTCAAATATATTAACTTCTTGACTTTTTTCAGCAGGTTGTTATGAAGGATGAGCGAATACACAAACCACCAACACTTTCAGAGAAATGCTTAGGAGTTAAGTTATGTAAAATACTCGTCGTACCACTCGAACACTAAACCCCAATTATTGTGTATGTTGTCGTATAGTAAGGCAATATCATCAACATGTTGCAGACAAGATATCTAGGTTACCAATATATACTTATTTAAGAGCTGTTTCTGGAATATTGTCGATGGCGAAGTTGAAAATCCAACCTAACATTACTGCTTATTTGAAACGATTAACACAGGTTGTTAGACGCTTAATATAATTTTTACAAAGCTTGCAAGACATCAATATATTTCCCATGTGGCATAGTCTAACAAACGAATATGTTTGTTGCTTTTGATTAAACTGTATAGTTTGGTTGCCAATCCCTAATCCAGATCTCTTATTCTGTTAATGACGTCTGTGACGAAAGTATATGTGATTGAAAATTATTAAACTTGACATGTAAATATACATCAGGTTAGACAGTAATAAAGAAATTATTGGCGTGTGATATTATACCCACGTCTCTTATTACTTTTACTTGAAAAACGAGGAACCACTACAATTCCCACAATGTGAAATTAAAACACAGAAGACTTGTACAAGTGAAGATTTATTCACTTCAAAAACACAACGACGACCCTAATTGAAAATACACTCAGTTATGTATTGATGGTACACCCACTCTGATTATTAATTAGAATAACATCATACGTTTGAAAAATACCCAGATTTATAACAAACCACATGCTAATTATAGTTAAAGTTAATTTAATACAGAAATATTGTATCTTAAATAAATATGATACTGAAATAAATTAATGTTACACCAGCTAAAATAACACACTGAAAATAAAATAAATATTACATTGAATAATTATCATAATGAACTAAAAACGGAAGTCATGCTAAATTGAAATCACAATGAGTAAACAATGTATTTCTTCTTTTTTCGTTCCGTCACATCAGTATACAAGATAAATTTCGTGGAATTTTTAACATGAAATGTTTCTATGTTGAACATTATTATCATAGATTTTCTGAATCGTTTTTTTTTCTGTTGATCATTCCATGACTTCACATTAACATGTTATTAATAGATTTGATAAAATAAAAGAATTGGTCAACCTTTTTTTTCCAAATCAATGGTGAATGTATCTTCTAAAACAAATGATCATTTATTAATTAATGTAATAAATTTATTAGCAATATGCGAAAAGACAGTTCAAAAATAGTTTTTTTCTTGGCAAAAAACATACATGATTACCATCAGTTGGTCATTTTAATTCCTATTATGATGATAAAGAAAAAATTGAAAGCGCGAGTCTATTGAAGCTAGACCACCATGGAAAACCTGGAAACACTGGACGGCCGTTTCGTCCTATTATGGGACTCCTCAACAGTGCGCATCCACGAACCCGCTCTCGCGAGATTCGAACCCAGGACCTACCAGTCTCGAGCTGAAGCCCTTAACCGATAGACCACTGAGCTGGCATCCAACGGTGTTGATGTCTAACTTCAACTGATCCATGAAGTTGAGCAACCGTTCACCAATTGTCTTCATTGAGTTGATATCTCACAACAGATGTGGTTTGAACTCCACTGGTCACTGCTCCTCACTAAACTCCTGGATTTACTTCTCGAAGTCCGTCACTAGTGAGCATATGATTATTATTATCATCAGAAGGGATTTTGTGGAGATTGACTCACGCTTTTAACTATGAAAATACTCAATCTCCACAAAATCCCTTCTGATGATAAAGAAAAAGTCTATTAATACTGAGGTTACGAAACAGACAATGAAGTTGTACTTTTGACCATCTTATCAATATACATATGAACATACAACAACCCAGATGCATAAAGATTAAAATAAACTAAGTTTGTAGGTATCAGTGCCACGGTTGAACTTGATAGTTTTAAAAAATTAATTGAGCATTGGGTAGAAAGTTAATAAAAAATATATTTTTTTGTTATATCCTATTGAGTAGAAAAATTGTATTTCTGACGTTTCATGATTTAATGTAAGCCACTTTTCCGAAGCAATGACTTACAATATAACAAAAAAATATGTTTATTATTTAAATAGACTGTTTGAATGAA